CCTGGAAGGAAAGACGAGCCTCACTTACCTTATTTAGCACAGCATGAAACTTAATACTAAAAATTTCAGGAGAGAAGAATTAGGACCTGGGTCCCTATGTGTCCGTTCTCATGCATTGTTTAATTCACTGTGGTCTCCTAAGATCCGAGTTCTTGCATCTTCTGCATTACAAAGCTTCTATCAGACACTTTTCCATTAACCCAAAACAGCAGACATCTAAACATCCATGATATCTAACCAGTTTGGGCAGGATCCCAGCAACAAATGCATAAGGAACATGTTCAGAGTCAATGACCCGAAGTCTCTCGTTAGTGGGAACTCCTATGTACATTTGGAAGCTGCTTTTAAAAACACTATATTTTTATTACTGCCTTTGATTTTATAAAATATTGGGTAAGTGTAGTATTTTCATAAATTCATATAGCACATCTTGGTCATACTGAAAGCAGTTTTACACCGCGGGTGAGGAATGTGGACGTGGAGTTGACTAAGCTTAACTCTTACTGGTTGTGCAACCTGGACCTGGACAAAATTACTTTCTGGGTTGTTTTTTTTTTTTTTTTTTCCTGGGAATTGAACCCAGGACCTTTGCACTGAGCTACATCCCCAACACTTCTAGTTTTGTATTTTGAGAAGGGTCTCACTAAGTCACTAAGGTGCTTAGGTTGGGCTTGAATTTGTGATCCTTTTGCTTCGGGCTCCCAGAGTCCTGGGATTATTGGTGTGTGACACCAACCCACTCTTAACCTTACTATGCTTCAGTTTCCTTACCTAAAAAAATAGGAAAATAACACCAGGCATGGTGGTGCTAAATTGCTCAGGCTGGGCTTGAACTTGAGATCCTCCTGCTTCAGCCCCTCAGAAATCACCATGTATGGTCCAGCCCTACTTTTCAAGAGACTCAAGTTGCCTGGTGTTGCAGCCTTCTTTTTTTTTTTCTTTGAGACAGGGTCTTGCAATGTAGTCCAGGCCAGCCTTGAAGTCAGTATGTAGCCACGTAGCCTAGGGAGGCCTTGGGTGCCCGGTCCTCCTGCCTCGGCTTTCTGAGTACTGGGATTACAGGCATGGGCCACCCTCCATCCTCCGTGAGAGCAACTGTAGAAGCACTTGTCTTGGTTTGCAGTGATCCTAAGAGCTGGAGGCAAGAGTGTTGTCTAAGGCCGGTTCTTCCGGCGTGATCCAAGCCAACAGCACTTTGGGAACATACCACAAAATGTATGCAACTTTGTATCACACATGCAAAATCTCAAATCAGAGATCAATTGGAGGAGAACGTGAATATCAACAAGAGGTCCAGGCAATTTGAGTGAGACTAAAGCATGGCCATCGTTTGCCGTGAACTTAAAGACAGTGGCAGGCTTCTCGCAGGCAGGCTCAGATCTGGAATCTGGGGTCACACTCAGACGTAAACATGAACCACCCGACTGCTGCGGATGGTTGAGTTAATGGTTCACGCAGCCTGGAAGCGAGCTTTGTTCTAAACACAACATGGTTTTCTGCTGCCCGTCAAAAGGTGCCGCTGGTCACCTGAGGCGTGTGATGAGAGGATGCGGGAGGGGGCTGTAGGTACATTGCTGACTGCTACAGACTCCAGCCCCTTCTGTACTGGCCGCCTGTGCTTCCGGCTCTGAGCGGCAGCTCGCCTGTCTGCCCCCTTGTGCGTCCGCCTGTCTCCCCCAACCCAAGGCTCTTTGAGGCTTTGTTTCCAGCGCTTGGCCTGAGGCCTGGAGAATAATAGTTCTTTATAATGCAAATGAATAAATGAAACCAAGACTCCTACTTCTGTAGGAGGAAAACACGGGTATCATAACTAGTTTCAGTTTCTGCAAAGCTCCTTTAAAACGTAAAAATAACCCAGAGTATTCTTGTCCGGGGGACTGGGCGGAGAATGTCCCCATCTTTGACCTTTCCTGCCAAGAGGGACTTCAGCGGCACCTAGGGCCAGCTGGCGAGCATCTGGCACACGGGGATGAAGGAAGACTCCGTCTGTGACTCAGGTCTACTTGTCACCACTTAATCATTTCCAGTAGCATTTGGAGTTTCAGGGCAGATCCCCTCCAGCGCCCAGCCATCAGCATTTCCAGAGCCCGGAGGAAGGTCTCCGATTGCTCAGCCTGGAGTCCGTTCCTTCCTCAAGAGCAAACCCCTTACTTCTGGAAGGAGCTTGGCACTCATGACCCACAAAGGAAATTTATCCTGCCGGGTGAGGCAAGTAGAAAGAATCAAGGAACTAAATTCAAGGAAGTTGCTGACGTGACTTTTTATTCCTACCCTGTGTCACTTCCGTCTTTCCCAAGGCTCCCTTACCTGTCCCCACAGGACCTTTAGCTTCGAGGAGAAACTCAGTGTGGAAACGAAGGCTCTTGGCCTACTGAATTGTTTTCTTTGAAAATGTTTGTTCTTGTTTGCTTAGAAATGGGAAGACTTCCTACAGATTGAATGTTTCCATGTATAATTTTTCCTTTTGGGAACTCTAAGCTCCACCTACCCAATTGACATGATGGAAAGAAAGAGGAAAAAAAAAGGCAAGAAAACAAGAGGCTGAATATGATAGCACACACCTGTAATCCCTGGGAGGCTGAGGCAGGAGGATCACAAATTTGAGCCCAGCCTGAGCAATTTAGTGACTTAGTAAGACTCTGTCTCAAAATGTAAATATAAAAAAGGGCTGGAGATGTAGCTCAGTGAGAGGCCCTGGGTTTAATTGTCAGTATGGAAGAAAGAAAAGAAAGAAAGGAGAGAGGGAAGGAATGAGGGACAGAAGGAAGGGAAATCAAACATCGAAGCAGGGAACCAGGGCTGACTTAATCCTTCACTAGGCCCAGCTACCTTGGGGTTTTTGCAGATAGTGGGGCCCAGCCTGAGGGTGGGATCTTGAAGAGAAAAGCTGTAGCCTAGATAGATAGAGCAGTGGGCATTCAGGGCTCAGAAGAAGCCCCTCCCTGCCGTGACCACGGAGAGGGATCGGCGGTATAGACCTGTAATCCCAGCACAGGGGAGGCTGAAGCAGGAGGATCATAAATTTGAGTTTAGTTTAGTTACTTAGAGAGTTCAAGGCCTGCCTGGACTTTAGTGAAACCCGCTGACAGCGATTAGCAAGGGAGGTCTGTAGGGAGGCCAAGGTCGGGGAGGCTACATCCCTTTGTCTTGTTTCCCCAACTTTCCAGCACGGAACTAGAGTGGACAGGCCTGGGCGAATCAGCACATGTTCAATGCCACTGCAGGGGCAGACAGGTCATTTCTGACTGAGTAGGAAGTGCTAAGGGCGTCATTCCAAAACTGCATGGCCAAGTTTCCAACCTTTGTTCTTTTGGGTACTGCAGTGTGGCTATCTCCCCCTCCCCCACTGTATCCGGTCTGAGCTGAACTCAAACCAACATTCACGTGGGAGCATTTGCACCTATGTTCAGGGGCTTTGGGATGGACAAGGACGTTCAGTGTGAGCTGGGACACTGTCACAAACAACCCAGGTGGGAAGATGGACTGAGGCTGCAGGAAGGGGACCCAGCTGGCTTTGACCAGCTCTGCAGCAATGCCCTTTCTGTAAAGGAACCAGCAAGTGTTGGGTCCTTCTCACCCTGAAAGGTGATCATGTTTATTTGACTTTGACCTCACTTGTACATCAGAAGGCTAATGTAATAATGCTATCTCCTTAGATATAAACTAGTGTACATAAATTGTGCTTATACATATTTCTGCTTTTTTTTTTTTTGAACAAGGATTAAACCCAGGGCCTTTGCACTGACCTATATCCTATCTCCCTTCTATTTTTTAATTTTAATACAGGGTCTCGCTAAGTTGTAAAGTTGCCTAGGCTGGGCTCAGACTTGTGATCCACCTGCCTCGGCCTCCCAGAGTACTGGGATTACAAGTGTGTGCCACCACCCTTGACTACCTCTTTGGATTTTAGAGAATGTCTTAAATCTCACGCCTTCCTACCTAGGCGAGAAATACACACCAAGGATAAAAGCACTAACCACGGAGTGTCTAAACCCACCTTCCACAAGTTACTGATTTATTGTGAAATCTGTAGGATCATTCAGTAGAATCAGTAGTCTGATTGAGCTAAAGAAGATTCTTCAAGCTTTTAACATTTTTATGCTACAGCCAATAGCAACATAGGTAGTCAGTGACTCAATGCATTTGAGCTTTACTGCCCGGAAACAGAATGTAAACCAGCTGTCTCCTGTAAGGTCACCTTGGACAGCCATTCCTTCTGAATTTGTTTTTCCACTGTGAAATACAGGGTGCTGGGCCATAGCTTGTATTTTTTAGAACTACATGGCTGGCACTCTGCTGGATCTTTTCATGCATTGGCTTGTGCAATGCTCACACCAGCCCACTTTTTAAATGGGAAAACTAAGCTTCAGAGGTAGAGCATTTGCTGACAGACATCAGGGCTGTCCCATGTTTGATTCCATGTCCCGAGGAACTTCTACTATTATAGGTGAAATCTTTCCCATTGCTATAAAATGAATTCAGAAGCTGGGCATGGTGGTGCACGCCTCTAACCCCAGCATTCTGGGAGGCTGAGACAAAAGCATCACAAGTTCAAGCCCAGCCTGGGCAATTTAGTGAGACCCTGTTTCAAAATAAAAAATAAACAGGGCTGCGGGTATACCTCAGTGTGAAAATTGCCAGTACTGCAAAACAAAACAAAAACAAACTACTGTCAGAATCCTCCTGTCCAGCATAATTTCCCAGAGAGGAAGTAGGGTCCCGAGATAGCCTAAGCCCAGGGGAAACAGAGGGACAGCGAAGAACCTGCCAGCCAGAGCCCAAGCAATCTTGCTGCCCCGTGCTGACTGCTACTTCCTACCATGCTTGCAGCAGCCTCCCTCCCACACACGGCCCAGGGCTGCCATAAAGCGGGGCTGGGAGGCTGTGAGAAAAACTCTTCTTTGAAAATGCTCCAAGCTGCCCGCCCCCGCCTCCACCCGAGCACCCAGCAACCTTCAGAATGGGGCCCCCTGACAGCCCCAAGACAGTGATCACCACAATTCTGTTTGTAAAAATCTGTTTAATAAATATACATCTCAGAGGTACCAAAATAATTACCAACAAAATACACTATCTACACTATTTACAGGAGGGCAACACAAACCCTGACAGGTCGTGACTTCTAACCTGCAGCACTGCCCACCCGGCTGTTACCCGTCAAGGGACATAACCAGGCTTGGCCACTAACTCCATGGTGATTCAATCTAAAGCACAATAAATAAATGTGGTCCTTTCATCAAATTTTGGGCAACTCTCCCCAAACCCCACCAAGGCCAAGTTAAAAAGAGGGTTGGCTTTGCCTCCAAAGATCTTCCTTGTTTCCCCATGCCAAGTTCACAAAAGTTACGAAAGGAGGGCTGATCCGCCGAGGTGCGTCTGGGGCCAGGACGTGTGTGGTGTGATCCTAAGAATACCCTTCGAACTTTTTTCTTTTCTTTTCTTTTTTTTTTTAGAAAAATAAAACTCTCTTTTTGTACAAATATACAAGTCCATGTCCTCCTTGATACTTTCCGCTCATAATGTCAGACGCTGACCTCCAAACACACAGTCATCATACGGCAGCTAAAAACAGAAGGAAAAAAAAAAAGACACGTTAAACTTACGGAACCCTGCCAAGGAATTTGGGCTGACCAGAGGGCTACTACTGGCAATCACTCAAGTATTCTTGGACTCCTTCTCCGTAACCAACATATAATGAACCTTACAGGAGGAGGAGGGGGGGAGCTTTCTTTTAATACTCCTCTGCTTTTAAAAAGCCAAGCTAGCCAGACACAGAGGCACATGCCTGTGATCCCAGCGGCTGAGGCAAGAGGATCAGTGAGTTCAAGCCCAGCCTGGGCTCTTTAGTGTGTTCAAGGCTGGCCTAGACTACATAGTAAGACCCTCAAATAGTCATTAAAAAAAAAAGTAGCTAAGCTATCCTGGGGGTGTAGCTCAGTAGGAAGCACATGCCTACCAAGTACGAGGGCCTGGGGAGTGAACCCCAAAATGTAAGCTATTAAAACCAGAAAAAGAGACACACTTGGGATACTAGTTATGAACAGTGAGGCTGGAGGACTAAGAAACCCCTAGGACCGGTGAGCTCCAGGGCCCCTGGAGGGCAGGGCCAGAGCGGCCCTCCCTGTTTCTGGCAGTGCTGAAGATGCTGACGCGTTAGACTCACCTCGTCCTCCGTGAACTCTGACTCTGTGTCGTAGCTCTCCTCATCCTCGCTCTCTGGCAGCATCTGGAGGGTTTTGAGGGTCAGCTGACCCAGCTGCTGCTGGATCTGGGTGCTCGGGCGGCCCCAGGTGAGCTGATACGGGGAGTAGCCTTGATAGGTGACTCTGTTGACGTCAGCCCCACACTTCAACAAGAGCGACACGAGGTCAGGATTCTGAAGGTCCACCGCGAGGTGGAGGGCTGTCCGGCCATTGCAGGGCTCCTGAGATCGAAGAAGATGGAGATGAGTTTGGACCTGCTGCTTGCAGCCAGAGCACGGAGTGTTGCTGCGGAGGAGCCCCTCCACCTGGCGGCAGGACGCACTCACCTGAGCATTGACATCAGCGCCCAAGGACACCAAGAGCTCCACGATGCCCAGGTAGCCATGGATAGAGGCCAAGTGCAGACACGTGTGGCCTGGAGGAGCAGAAGGCAGAAATGTATAAGCACTCATTCCACCCTTACACCTCAGAGAGAACCGTTCTCCTGTCCTTTCAGGGGACATGTCTGAGTTTTAAGAACTCAGTATTTGGGTTCTGGATGAAGTGTATAAAAATCTTTCTCACGGTGGGAGCTTAAGCTCTTGCCCTAAGTAGATCCACCACCCTGCCCGCCACACCGCCTATCCTCAGACAGGGCAGGCAGGACCTACCGTTGTAGTTGGTGGCCTGCAGGATGGAGTGGAGGTGCTGCGAGGTGCAGGTCTGCGTCAGCACTCCGACGCTGGCCAGGCAGCCCTGCTCGCAGGCAAGGTGTAGGGGGGTGTTTCCTCGAAAGTCCCGGAGCTCAGGATCACAGCCAGCTTCCAGAAGTGCCTGAGTAATTTCAGGCTGGTTGGTGATCACAGCCAAGTGCAGCGGAGTCTGCAGACGGAAGAGGAACAGGAAGAGGATAAGCCACGGGGCAAACCCACAGTCCGACTTCTCCAAGTTCCTGACATCTGCTTGCGGGCACTGCCCCTCCCAGGCAGGTACAGGGGGCCAGGCAATTCCAGGGGCCCCGGGGGGTCATAAAGACCACCAGATGGTGCGATGGCCTTCTCTCCCTGGGAGGCTGGCTGACTTGTGCGCGGAAGGCCAGGGCAGATGAGAATCAGTGACTGATAATGCAGAAAGGACGTGGGGGGCCTGTGCTACACCCAGCTCCACTTCGGGGTCGGGGTCAGAGCGGGCGCGGGCCCGGGGCAGCGGCGCACCTGCTGCAGGTTGTTCTGGAAGTTGAGGAAGGCCAGGTCTCCCTTCACCTGGCGGATCACTTCCATGGTCAGCGCCTTCTCTTCATGGATGATGGCCAAGTGCAGGAACCTGAGGGCGAAGAGGGAAACCCCCCGGGGTGGTGAGCGCGCCGCGTGGGGCCGGGCTGCGGGGTTGCGCAAGGCCGGGGTTTCTGGAGGCCGAGGCCGCGGTGTTTTCCGCGCGGTTATTATGAGCTGAGTGTTCCTGGCAGGCGCCCAGGGACTTTCCGGGCCCCACCCCCTGCGCGCCGGCGCCGGCCTGGCCCCCTCGCCCTCCCCCTCCCGCGGGCCGGAACGCCCTGTACTTCCCCTCCCGGCCGCGCGGCGCCCGCCGGGGCCCAGAAACTCCCGCCCGCCTTATGCAACCCTGCAC